CCAAGTAACTAACTATACTGAGATTTACACTTAAGACACTTAACAGTTAATAAAACATTTTATAACTTACGACTATTGAATATACAGACAGTTAAAGTTCTCCTCTTACTCTCTGTCTCTCATTAAACAGGATAGTGTGCGTCCTAATACTTATGCAAAAACTGCGCCGACTTAAACTGATATATATATATATATATAGTGCTATCAGTGAACAGTTTGGGAGGAAGCAACAACAATTTTCTTCCATTTTTATTCCCAATATCCTAAAATGAACTAGTTGAGCAAATTAAAAAATACGCCGTTGTTTTATAACTTAAAAATTTAATTGTTAAATGGATTTAAACAAAGCAGATAACAATCTGTTGCTGTGAGTTGAGTGTGGGTGAACAATAAAATTAACTGAAACATTTATTTATTTATTTATAGTTAATTCTTTCACTGTTTTTTCATATGTCATATTAGAAACATGTCTTGTTAGAAATTAAACTGTTGCAATATCAAGGTAGCCATAAGCATTAGTTGCTTTTTTCTTTTTGCAGATTTTAGATATCTTGTGGTCCAGTTATTCTTTTCTAATCACTGTAAGAGAAAAGTAGTTGGTTTCTTCTTCCTTGAGTAAGTCGACTACTTATGAGTAATACGATGATGAAAGCACTGAAAATTGTTAATCTGTATTTGTAGTCCTCACAGTTAGAAAGACAGAAGTTCACAAGCTGTACTATCTCACGCTTAAATGTACAAATGCAACCATCTTTTCAGTGATTTACCTTATGATTAAATTATGCTTGTCAGTTTTAAGTTTACAGCTAATGTCAATCCAGGTACATAATAATACTGACTGTGAAATGTTACATTCACATGCCGATAAAAGTGATTTTTGGGGAAAAGTGAGGTAAACTGCAGGTTCTAAGTGGTCAGCAGCAAAACCAGTAAAATAACATTACTCAAGGATGATACATTACACTTATTTTTTACGCTTCAAATAATCAATGGAATAGCGATGCCTTAATCAGCATCGTTCCTTTATGATCAGTTTTGTTTTAGGCACTTTTGTGACTAATTTTAAAGATTTTTTGCATCTAGTTCTCTACAGAAATTTCTGTCAAGCAAGGACAATAAGCAGTGTGGAATAAACTGTATTCGATTTCATCACGTGAACTTTAGATCCTCCACAAACTGAGTAAATTGTATGCAAATTTTAATTTAGTGCCTTTGTGGAAGATTTACAGTATATCAAGTGAAACTGAATTCAGTTCATCCTGCACTGTTTACTGATTTTACTTTATCATAATTTTAAGAAATTCAACATTTGAAAAAAAAGAAGACGTTCAGTAAAGAGACTCTTTTCGGCGAATTCATTCACATAGCTGTACAATCGAATTTATATATAATTATTTCTGTGTGTGTGTGTGTACATGAGGTTTGTCAAGTTTAGATAATTAATCAGGTAATACAAGAATGATCTAATATAGAAACAAGGTTAATCAGACAGTAACTAAAGTAACACTGAGTTAGTAAGTTAGATAACGTAATATAACTGACTAAAATGTTTCAACTTAGGTCAGGGTAGCAACAGAGGTAATTACAGGTAGAGAGAGACTAGGTAGAAGTGGGGCGGAGAATGCCTAATGCCATTTAAATTAGAACTGAAATTCAACAAATAAGTTGGATGACGTAACGTAAATGAGTGACTAGAAATTGAGCGTTGGTCAAGTCAGTAGCAGTGGTAATGAGGTGTGGAAATTAAAACGGGTGGTAGTAAAGGACAGGAAAGTTGAAAATGTAAAATATTACAATTGAGAAAACAAAATAATACTGATGAAGAGACAGAAAAGAAAAAAGAGATTACGTAGAATTTACTTGTCGGGTAGTAAGATAGATTACGTCCATTTCAAGTGTAGTGATTGAACAAACTTCTTCTGTATTCATAGTTCAGGACTTGGCAAGTGAATCGCCGTTGCTTCTGCAGTTTGAAGAGGTCTGATTCGTACACGTTTAGGAAGATTACTTCTTTCTCTATAGACGACTTTGAAGTCTCTTTGGGATGTACCTTGGTGTCCGGAATCTATCACATATTCTAAGATGGAGCTGATGGGGGATCGCTTTTCTCTTTTGTAAAACCATGTTGGTAAGTGTTCGGTAATACGTTTGGAAAGTGAACGCTGGGTACGGCCAACAGACCTGGCTCCACACGAGCAGGTGAATGGATAAATACACATTGATGAGGCCAGCAGTGGTAGCTTATCCTTCACGTTCACATGAATCATAGGTTTTGTGGAGAAGGTTAGTCGTAGTTCAGCTGAGAAGAAGGTCTTCTTGAGTGTGCGTGACAGTCAATTTTTCAGTGTTTCCGCAGATATATCTCCATTGAATTGAAGGTTCATGTACAGTAGTTTTTTTTGGTACGGTAAGCATGGGCGGCTTTTGTGATCTAGGATTCATAGATTTTGATGTCTAATTAACCTTGTTTCTATATTAGATCATCCTCGTATGACCTGATCAATTATCTAAACTTGACAAACCTCATGTACACACAAACACACAGAAATAATTATATATAAATTCGATTGTACAACTATGTGAATGAATTCGCCAAAAAGTGTCTGTTCGCTGAACGTCTTCTCTTTTTCATATGACTCAATGGAGATTTTTAAGCTACTCAAATTCAACATTCACTGAAATAGTTAAGTGGTTACCTGCTGACTAGTTGTAAGAATCAATGAGAAAATTAGATGACTGTAGAGGTGAGTAATGCGAGCACAAAATCATGAAGAGAAAATCAGATACACTTTAATGATAACGAAAGAAAATCACATAGCTTCATACCAAATAAGTACAAAGGTGAACATTAACCTTAGAGTTGAAGGCATTTCGAAGAGAAACAGAGTTTCATGTTTTAATGTACACAACAAGAAGGCAGTTCTGTGGTTTCGTTAATCAGATAAAGAATAACAACATATCGCACAGGTTGGGTAGATTTTTGCAGACACTCGTATTGATAATAATCTAAATCTACCTTGCTAAATCTGGTAGTATAAGATCTATTGTTTCCCCTCTTATTGCTATTGACTAACACTGATACAATACGAATGCGGTCAACGTATTCCATATGCGATAAATTTAGTTTATGCAACAGCTAGCGATACATTATCAATAACTGGATGAAGTTTCGAGCACAGTTTATTGTTCATAATCAGATCATTGTATTCATATGGGTTCCAAACTTCGTAATTTTTTTCAATCCTTCTTGTATTTATACAATTTTTCACGTATCTGCAGTAGGTGTTCTGTCATTCCTATTCGATGGTGACCTGGTGGGCAAAGATTCGGTAAACAGCCTCTCTTTCTCCCTCTCTGCCCAACTATATCACATTTTAGTATTTTTACTCTACCGCACCCTATAGTGTGATTACTTGTAAACTCATGCATAGTAATGACCGAGCTTTTGGCCACTGATTGAAGTCGTTGCTATTTATTACTATTATTATTTTTTATTTCATTCCTTTGCGTTTCTAGGGGAACACACACGGCTTCAAGCTTGAGCTTCGAAGTTTCAGGAACAGCTGCGTTTCTTTTTACACCGTGGGGTTGCTAGCTTAACGCCCAACCTTCCCTCTCTCCTGAGATTAATACCAACTAATACATGTTTAGGAATGCGTTGGCTAGGAACAGACAACGTGCATGGTTTGGGAGTCCTCTGCCACTGAACTAACGACGCACCTGGTGGCCACAATGACAGTCTAATTCCAGGTAAATTAAAAACTCCGCATAAGGCCTTCTTTATATAGTAGTACTATAGCGATTTTGAAATCTTTGTCATTTATGTTATTTCCATTATTTACGTTACTACTATTTTTATTACTGGCCTTAATAAATATCAGAATGAATTTAAGTGCGTAGCTAACCAGTGCAATGACAAAAACTCAGGTATTTCTGTCTGAAAGCAAGAAGTCAAGCGACTCGTTTTTGTTCACTGCTTTCTACACTTCCGTGAGTGACAAACAGCTTGAAACTGTAACCCAGAAATATCAAAATACGTGCTTAATAGAATCTGCGATATATCTGGACAATGTTGATCGGAAGTTATACAATTCAAATGTTTCTCAGGTACGAAACACGTACAGAGAACCAATCAGAATATTCCCAACAAGGTGGGATGAAAACTCTTTCTGCACTGATCAAACAGAACAAATACATTTCTCTCAGACAGTCTAAGGCCTATCAGACACCCCACAACGCAAGTCCAACTTTACTGAAATACAAATGCAGTTGTAAAACAACACATCATTATCAATGCTATCACACATCAGCAATAATAGAGATCAGTCAAAACACGAAGACATATAAGGACAGGTTCAAAAGCAGATATGCAGAAATTAGAAGAGACCGGAAGAAAACTTTAGTTAATACAAAGTTGAAATATCAAATAATTCAGTATTGTAAAATGATTGTTTGTGGAGGGATTTTAAGACCGAATATCCCGACACATTCAACAGTAATTTTTTCCTGACTTGTTCGATTTCTACATTTAAATTTTTTAACTGACCAGTCAACGTTCAAACTCTATCCCGCAAACACTTGAATAAATCCACCTTTACTGATGTTGGATGGGATGGTCCAGAGTCAGAGTGTCTATGAAAATGAGATGGTCTCTTATTGATGTTTCTACGTTTGATTTTGCAATCCAGTATAGCTAATTCTCCTTCTGTTAATTTTCTCACTTCCATCTGTTACTTACATTATGTAAATGGAAATAAATAAAAGATACGTTCAGATCCCAACCCACTGACACATTTTTTGTCCACAAACTTCCATTCTACATTACAAGTGGGATTATAAGTCGTTATTAACACTGTTTTACTCGATATATGTCATATCGAATATACTTTACTAAATTATCCCTTGGACATTGAAAGTGTGTATCAAATCATCAGACATTTGATCTAGTTAATCTACTTGAAATAAGTACACTTATATAGTGAAGTTATCAGATTACTTACTCCGTATAATTTTTCAAGAATTGTAATTGCACGCTCCAAATGAGGTGTATGATCGGGAAAAGTTTGTTTGCTCTAAAAGAAAATACAAAAAAAAAGGAAAAAGATGAAAACAAAACTCAAATGGAAAAAGAAAGAAATCAACATTAAGGAGATCACAAACCAACTGGGCAAGTATATAATACACGTTGAATAAGCCAAAACAGGAAATTTAAATTATATAACTTCCAAGTAAGACACTCATGATGACTGCTAACTCAGGAGAATCACAATAAAATGCCAAGAAAACTAGTAAAAAGAAGAAATAATTTTTTTAAAGTTTATTTTTAGATACTCCTAGTTGTATTTTGAATGCCTGACTTGTGTTCACAACACCACTTATTCTCCGAAATGAGACATTTAAATCTCCCAGAGTATCATCACGTTAAGCTTTTCGTTTGTGACAACAAACCAGTATGCTTTATTCCTATCCAAGGTTTCATAACGTACTTAGTGATATCTTGGCAAAGGCAGGGAAATATGTTATACTGTTTTTGATGTCTACTATCTTCTGAATTTTATTAATCATTCAGAGGATACAGAAATGGCGTTAAACCCACCTTTGAACACGTAATAAATTTGTAGTACTATTGTTATAAAAGTTTGCTTGATAGGAGGAAGTAACTAAAACTACACGAAGTGTGAGGATATATTAAGCCAACATCTAAATACCACAACCATGTTATAAATCAATGAAACTAGTATGTGAACTTTAAGGATTTTGAAAGTGCTATTTCATAGAATATGAAGTTACTTAAACAATCCTTGATATGCATCTACCTCTTCACTCCATTCAATCCATCTTTATTTGGGAACATATTTTAATGTAGTTGTTGCAAACAATCGCATAATTCTAAGAATTCTTTCTTTCCTTTCTTTGAATAAGTCTCAATGTCTTTTTTCTGTTTTGCATTGACAGGCGAATGTTGATTTTCCATAAAAATGGAGAAAGATAAAACAAAGTTATTATATAACACAGCTGATAAGAAGTGTCAAAGACTGATTATTTCTTGCTGAATTTGTGTTTAGTTGCTTACATGTAAGAAGTTTATTTCTAACTTTCCTGTGAAACGAAATTTATGCAAGTATTTTAGTGTACAAACTTTTGATATTTTAAAATCTTCCATTGTAATCTGTTTTGTTTTACAGTTTTAAATGAAAAGCTGCTTAAAGCGAAAAGTTTATTTAGTCAGTGATTGTAGTAATCCTGTGGTTAAATTAGTGTGAATTCATGGTACAAGTACTAGGGGCATTTCTGTTCTCAAATCAGTCATTGGATGTCAGTCAATATGTCTGATAGGTCGTAACTGTTGATAGACTTCTTTTAACCAAGCTTTTAATGTTGAGACTTTCAGCAAAAAATGGATTTACGTTTTCCCTTTTTCCTATCTTTGAACAGTCGGTTTGTCGACGTGATACAATAGATTGAAGAGCTAACCGTCCAGTGGAAAGTTTACCAGTAAAGTTTGTTATGTCTTTTTTCACTTCTTGAGTTCCGTGTAATACATAGGGCTTCAAGGCCAGTGGTTTGACTAGCAGTGGTGTTGTTTTTACGCAATGGCATCGTTATCCCTCACGCGCAACCTTTTTTATTTTCTAGGATTTTTACCGAACAGTAAACTAGGTGGGGCTTAGGTGTTTGCAGTACTGGAATCGACCCAGATCTCCCACATGTATAGAGAGCATTCTGGCGCTGAACCACAGACGCAAAGCTTATGATATGAGAACTTCGTAAAACAGGTTTGAATTTCCAAAGTAACACGGTTTTCTTCAGATACTCTTTGTTTGAAAGTGCATGCTAACAGGAGGTGTATTTAAAGACTACTTGCCAACTTTAAAGTTCCAAAAATTGGGTACAGATTAGTCAATGCCACATTTATTAGTGGGTCTGTTCTTGATCATTGCAGTGTGACATTCATCCAATAAAAGTAAGTCTGATGGAATCCCTAATACTGTCGATAAAGAATAACTGTGCATAAAGTGGTCGACTTATTTCTTTTTCAGATATATTAAACACATGTGAAAAAGATACTTTCTAAAACGTTGTTTGGACTTTCAGAGTCCATATCACATGTCTCAGTTCTAGTCAAGTTATCAACGAACATTAAGAAACATGTCTGAAATCACAAACTATGTTTACAGGTATGTCTGTCGATCAGCTGTGACATGAGGTGCTCAGAAATCAACTTCTGTTGTGAATTATGTGCAACTAGGTTTATTTTAAATAGTCACCGTGCATCAAAGAGACATGATTAGACAACCCACCACCAATTATTCCACCTAGGAATAATTGACTATATGAAGTGTAACATTGTATACCAACTAAGAATTCACTTTGAATAAATTGCCTATCATATTTTAGCAATCTTACTAATAGTAATTATTATTCCCTTGGGTTCTGAGTGAAACATAGGGCTTCAACAACACATCTCCACCTTCTTCTATTTTCTGCTTTCTTCTTCAGCTCTGTCTACGATAGCCCATAATCTCTCATCTCTTCCTCACACGATCTCCTCCATATCACCGTCGCACTGACGACCCACTCGTCTCTTTCAATTCAGGTTACACTCGAGCAATGGCCTGCATTGCGCGCGATTCCATTCGACGACCTCGTCAATGTATCCTCGATCCATCTCCATTTTCGCCTACATATTTGTTGAGCAAAAGGCTATCGGTTGGTTTGTTACCACAGTTTCTTGTTACTGATTGTTTCTTGACTACCATTTTTCCTTCACTATGGAGCCACTGAAGCCAGCTGTTGATAAACGTCTGCAGTAGCCCGTTGGAAATCCTTTTCGGGATACGCAGTGCAAGTTTCTGACCCGTATAGAAGGACTGACCGACTTCAGATTGGTGTTGAATAGAATCCCAGTCTTGTCGCTCATGTTGAGTATTGAAGATTTCCCAATTAGTTTCAGGTTGATGAAGGTGTATCACACCTTTCCCTTTCTGACTGGCTTTGACATCTTGATCCGTTCCAAGTGCCTGTGGTTGAAACCATGCTTCGCAGCCGGATGGGTGAAGGAGGAAACCTCTGTTAAATCTCTCCGTTGATGGTGTTTGGTGATGGTTGTTGTTTTTGTTGTCATTGTTCGTTGGTTATCTTCATCACCTCCGTCTCCCCTGTGCTCACCTGCAGTCCCGTCTTCGTTGCTCACGTCTTCAGGCAGTTTGTTAGTTTAAGCCTGCCTGCAGCTCTTCGAGTTTGTGAGATATCAGACATATACCATCTGAGAAATCCAGATCTTCTGGAGTCTTCTTATTGGTGGTTCAGGATATTCCTGTATCCTCTCTCCCAACTCACAGTCTGACGCATAATCCAGTCGAGCACCACAATTAGGAATATCATCGGTGATAATAGGCAGTCAGCCAGCTTATCTTACTTACTCCTGTATGAACTTCGAATGCCTCGCTGAGTTTTCGGTTGTGGATCACCTGACTGACACGTGGCATTTTCATATAGCCAGTTTTCTGTTTACAAAAAAGGTTGATAAATACTTGGGTACTGCACTCCGTAGTGTTGAAGAGGTTTCTAGATTACTTTTCTGTCAATACTGTTTAGTGAAGGCCTTGTTGAAGTCGATGAATCTGAGGTGGATATATGTTTCACTGCGATTCTACACCTTGTTATGTGATGATGATGCATAGAATTGCAATTTGATGAGCACATGACTTGTCTTTCCTGAATCCAGCTTGTTCCGGGCGGAGTTGTGTAACCAATAGCTGAATGGTATACGAGCTTCCCTTGTAATCGGAAAGAGCTGGGTGCGTACTGCCGACGATTAACAAACTAGCATGTCCAGTACTCCCTTACTAATAGTTTTAATCTTAAATTCCATTTGAAATAGGACTGAATTCTTGCAAGTTGTAGTCATTTTCGAACTGGAATCAAAAACTTGTGACGAGTTACATACACTGTGAAATGCCCATTCATATTATAGACACAAACATTACGCAGCATCCTCGAAGCTGACAGCCTTTTCATTTAACTAATTTTCACTTGTAGCCGAAAAATCAAAGCTTTCCGAACCAGGAAAAAATGAAATAGTATGAAGTAATTTGTTTACAAAACTTCTGTAGACTATTATAACAGACCGTTCCATGTGGAGAGGTGTTGAGCATCGATGATGATGGTTCATGTCAATAATTGTTCACAGTGAGTAAAACAAGCAATGAACAGAAATTTAGTTATAAAGAGCCGTACTCACTGATCTCAGTCAGTAACAGACGACAGGAACGCAGTTTCCAGTAAGAATACATTTGACCTCATATTGTTTTCCACAAAAATTCCCTGTGATTTTGCTGGCCATCATTCATAGTAGAAGTGAAACAAAAGTGAGTTAAGGCTCCACTAGACCTATGTCGTGTGCATCGGTGGCACAGTAGTAGAATAGTTGCCACCCAAGCAGGGGGTCCGGGATTCCATCCCCATCCATCCTTTACCTTGCTAAGCCGGTAATAAGACTGGTAAAGGGGCAAGGTTGAGCATGAAGCTAGCAAACCCATCCCATAAAAATGAATACCATTGCTACCGAAACTCCAAAGCTCTAGCTTGAAGCCCTGTGTTCCACTGGGAACGTCAAGGAATAAAAAAAAGACTCATGTCGTACAAAAGGCCAAAGATAAGTGAATGTTATTCACAAAGTGTCAGCTTCATGACATATATATATATATATATATATATTTACTGTTATGCACTTGAATTTTAGCTTTCTTCAGTAACTAATTATAATTACTTCATAGTACTTGGACGACGTTTCGGTTTATTGGATCAAACACTCAACTCTTAAACTATGTATCACAGGTTAAAATCTTTTGCTTATATGGACCTAGGCAATTAACCATTACGACTGAGAAACCAAGAGGCAAATGTGTTTCTCACCCCAATAATTAAGTGTGATTAGTAGTTTAAACCATAAAGTGGATTACACCAGAAAGTAAGTTAAGTATTAATTACACTCAAAGAAACAACAGCACACGTATTCAACAATGAACGCCTGGAAAAGAAGAAAGTCTGGACGTGAGGCTAGTAATCCCACAGTTTAAACAAAATACCACTATTGAAAATTCAAAGCTTGTAGCCCTGTGTTTCAATTGGAACACAAGGAAAGAAAAAACATACTTTCAAGCAAAAGCATACCCAGCCCATCAGGAGAAAATAAGAATGTCAGAGCAATAAAACAAAACTCATTATGTCAAAGAAAATATCAGTACTTATAGAACATTTAGTTAGGATTAGCTTTGCCGCTAAATAAAATTTTTTCTTGTGATCAATTTTTAAAAATTTCAAACACACTTCGCATCCTTAAACTCTCTCCAAAAATTATTAATTTAGATGATCTCAGTGTCAAATGTTGAGAATACTTGTACGCTTTCACCTTATTCACCTTCATTTAAAGTGTCACTGAACGTGTAACCCTCTGTCTTGCCTCGAGAGGTACTGATTTATTAGCATCTGGTTCAGTGGATAAAGATAAGTATTGTAGAGAACCAATTTGCACAACTAATTGTTGTTTATCTCCAAATTGTTAGGCTACTGTAAACTGGATAGCATTAACACTCTTGAAATCTAGTCGCTTAGATATATTATTAGAATAAATTGCAGTATAACTTAGACGGTCTGTTATAATACATTGACAACAATGTCCAGAAAATGGATAACTGATGTTGACTGTTAATAAATTCCTATAGGGGAACTAGGCCCATGTACAGTGTCAAATGATTGTAGTTTTCGGTAAATTTATGTCGTGCATTCTCCTTTAGTAAACGCGAAAACTTTAGTAATTTTTGTACAAAAAAAATCGCTTTTAAGGTCTCTTATTTTCAAGGATTAACAGACAATGGAAAAAACAGTAAACACCAGATTTTAATGGATAGTTTGGCATCGGTACTGAGGGTTCGTGAACTAAGCTGCTAGCTACTTTGGAATAGATTATACTGAATATTGAGGTATTGGTTCATGAATCTCATATGCCCAAAAGCACTGATCGTTTGAGTAACTTGCAAAGGTAAAACTAATTATAAAGAAACCAGTGTTGAATGGCTTAATAATAAACCAGTTACAATTTATCCGCAGAGTATGAGCACTAAGTATATTTAACCCAACCAGTAGCCGCATAATACTATTTTTTGCCATTATCTCCAATGTCAAAAATACACCACTATGTGTGATGAATAGTCGCCAAATATAGGAGTTTTTGACTCTCATGGAATTACAACGATAATATAAGTTAAAGTACAAAAAAAACTATATTTATCTTATATATTTTTGTGACACTTTGTATCGACCAGATATAGGTTTTTCTGAAAACATCTTACTAATTTATATTCGAGACGGCACGTTCTAATCGACCTATAGTATGATGTTTATTTATGTGAATAGTGAGTATAATTTTGTGCAAATTATATTCATTAAATGTATGAGCATTTAAAGACATGCATATGTAACATAATGGTGCAATGTTTATTTTTGTGATTTATTCTATCATGCTCATCAAACACACCGAAATAACACTATTTAGTCATAACTGAGGCACTGGTGATCAGACCGAAGTTTATTAATGTACAGTATTAGAAGAATGTTTGTTTTTGTAGCAACTGCCCTCTTTATTCACAATGAGTCACTTGTACTGGTCATTTGCCAGATCTTTACACTTCTTTCCAGTGCCTGTTTCAACAGACAGTAATCGCGTTATTGATTGATTGTAAAAGCTACAAGTGAAACCCAGAATACATAACCTAATCAAACGCCCCAGTTAAGCCCTAGTGACAAATCAATAAATAGGACTTTTTATTAGTCTACTTTGAACAGTGGAAAACACTGTGAAGGCTGTGTATCACTGAGTAGGAAGTGACGTACTTTTGATGCAAAAAGTATCTAATTTGGGCTAACAAGTTTTAAATAGAGTATGACAAATCTACTGAATCAATTTCCGCAATATTGAACAAAAAAGTGCTGATTGGAGCACAGTGTTAAGGTGCTCACTTTGCTTAGCCTATTGTAAAGCACATCATAATGTAACCTTGACAACCTACACTTATTTGACCGAGAATTAAACAACGACACCAGGAATTTCTTTGGACATTTTATGTGAATGGTGTAGTGTATAAATGATGAGAAATACCAGACTATAACAAAAAATCACACGCATTAAATTTGAATAATCTTGCTACATTCATTGAAAACTTCAACAAGACTAATCAGAGAATAAGGTGTATAGATATCAAATAGTGCTTTATTCTCACAAATTTTATCATTACATCAATTTACGACTTTATGTTAGAAAATATATGCCTCTTCATCTGTGGTATTCAACTATGAAACTGTGAATAATGCAGAACTCCGCCTTATGAATGTCAGGTAGTCGTAATGAATAACTTTTAGGCTGTTCGCTAGCGTACAGAATTGCACTAAGCCTAGAATAGTATCCTTTTGTAATGGCAAAGATCCATTAGATTCTCATTATTCTTCGCGTAGGTTTCATTTCATTATATTATGTTCTCTAACCGTCTACCTTTATATGTGCTTTTATGAAGAGTGACGACTTGAATGGCTGCACTTAGGAGCATAGTACTGCGCTGAAAATTCATTTCAGTTCAGAAATGATAGAGGAGATTTGTAGCTCAGACGGAAGACATCAATGTAGTTAGGTTCTCTGAGCTGCATGGCTCAACTGAGAAAATATGATTTTCTTCCTTGGCAGCATCTTCAACTGCGACTTCAGTATGGATCAAACATTTAGAATTATCCTGGAGACTACTAACCGTGTTTCCTTCTGTCATTGAACGTGGCTCGTTTCTTCCGGTTCACTTGTATTTGTATTAATTATTTTGCTGACCTGATAGTTGCCCATGTGACTTCTTTTTAACCATTTATTAAATGCGATCTATGTGAACATGTCTGTTGACTACAGATTCGTCTGAATTCCATACCTCCACTGACATTATTAGTGTTTCCTTTGTCACAGATTCGCACATTACTCCAGTCGAATTAGTGTTCGTATTTGCCTAAAAATATTGATATGAGGGAATGGATATCATTTCTTTTGACAGACAGTTTATCCTCGTTGATGCAAAGACGAAAAGAATGACCACTTCGACCAATATAATGTTTTCAACAGTTGTTACAACTAATCTTGTAATTAATGTTTGCATTTTTCCCCTCTTCTTTATCTTTTGGTTGACCACTGGAGTGACTTTCTTGGTTTCTGGGTGACATCTTTCAACAGTCTTCTAACGATTTCAGAGATACTGTTCATTTATGGTAAAACGATTGATTGATTTTAGCCTATATTGGCTGATTCTGAGTCTGCCCTTTGAATTGAAAAATGGAATGATTTTGGCGAATTTTTGTGGACATCAATTTTTATAGAATACTGTCGTGCAATAGTTCTTCTGTATTCTCCACAAGTCAAAAGTCCTGAGGTGTGTATTCAGTGCCACTGTAATTACAACAGCAACGCCCAACACAAACAGAGGTGTATAAAAAAAACTGTTCAAAAGATGGTTTCAAGAAATATATTTTATGGAAGGAGAATTTCAGTAAACACTTGAATGTATACATACAGAAAGGTATATTCTCGATAAAAATCTTCAAGAGCAATCATATATATATATATATATATATATATATATATATAAGCTAAATTAATATAACAATTTGAATAACTTACGCATGTTACTTTTTGACTTGCCAAATACTTGCATAAGTTATACAAATTCTCATGATCAGTAAATATCTCTAGTACATCGTTGATTTGTTTGGCATTCGCCTGGTGAAAAGGAAAGAAATAATGTGTTAAAACTAATTTCATACAGTTAAATATTCATTGTATGTTTATGTGTGTATTAAAGAAGAACTATTTTGATAGGTGTGTTTACATCACGCCGTCATAAATCATAAGTTAACGATTTTCTTATGTTTTCAGATTATTAAATAAACTGTGCAAGCTAGGGTGCACAGCAAAATTCGTATTTAGCTCACCAGTTGGTCCACAATACGCTTTGAAATAAAACATGAAAACAAACACTTTTTCCACCTGAATATTGAGTTCATTTTGATAACATTAGTTATCGCATGCTTCACAATTGACCTTCAGTATATCATTGTCTGCTGTATTGAATATAGTTCAAGACTATTCACTCTTATTGTATATGCATAGCAAACCAGTAGTTGATATAAGTCTTCCCCATGGTTTAACAGCTCAAGAAAGTTTGAATGTGAGCTAAAAGAGACAACCGGTGAACAGTAGCACTGAGACCTTAAGATTTCCTAATAATTACTTTCTTTTATCTGTCCATGTATGTATCCACATCTTCAAAAGTCAGTATAACTCATCCGAATAAGTTCTTATAGTGAGTAATTAATTTGTGGAATAAACACCACTAATTTTGAAGAAGTTATTTCAACAAAGCCTGTAAGTTCGACCAAACAACCATATCTCTTTTAACAAAATTCCTTTCAATGGCCCACATAATAAATTTGTTTAAGCAGAGATGATGAGTCTTTAAAGCTTTCCTTTCGAATCTGATGAAAACATATGAAAAAGATTTGTTAACCTGTGGTATTATCTATCCGACAGTGAGATTTTCCTATACTTTCACGTTTTCAAACAATAACTGTCTGACTCCAGATGTTAACACATCGTCAGTGAGCTCTCATTTTAATGCACCTGGAGATAATCATTGTTGAAATTCACCTAATTAAATAACGTAATTAAATAACGTTTATTGTTTTAAGATTGAGGTATGAGTTAGTAAGAATAGAAGACAGACATATGCTTAATAATTTATTGGTTCATGTCCCATATATATATATATATATATATATATATATATATATATATGTAACTAGTTAATGTATTTCCTTTTAGTATTTAGAAAGGCATTTATTCGACTGAAAATAACCGATATTTCTCTAAGTTATTCAAGAGACGTAGGATTATAAGTTAACTAGTGTATCTCAATAGCCTAGCAACATGTCTCCTTAGTTCATTTCACTTACACGGAATTATTCAGATCATCCCACATTAGAAATACCAATATAATGAAGGCATGAGCTTATTCAGTTTCCACTGATTTGAAGTTTATAAAACGGTATTCTTCCATAATTGTTTCACATTTTATGTTATATCATGTTATAATTAGAGTGACGTTTATTCCGTTAATTTAAGAAAACCTTATCGATACAAGTAAACACCAACCAACCAATAATTGATGATCAAATAGTTCTGTGAAACTGTTCACTTTGAACTGGATTTTTTACGAATATTATTCGACACTAACTATTATCATGAAGATAGTCACTTCTTATTCAGGCCGCATCACTTTTTGTTTGTTAAATGTAATTGATTTGTTGATGCAACTCAATGGGTAGGCTGGTGGTAGGCTGATGGTGATCATTCAAACCAATGGCTGAAATCTCAGTCGATAAGGCTGCTAGATCCTGCTGCTGACCAGATCTTAATTTTGAGCTAATCATCTAAAGTTTTTGTTTAACAGCCTACAGTATATGATATGGTTCGTAAGAATCTTATTTCATTAATATTTCATTTACTTATTTTAAAAAAATCTGGCTTTTTCAAAAATAATGCAATAATGACCAGTTAACTATTGACAGTCAACTCATTTGTAGGACAGTTACCATCGACTGATGATATCTGCTTGGTTATTTAAAAGTAGAAAGATCTGTAACTTGACTAAAGTACCATTTTTTGGTGTGAGCACTTTATTTGCTTTTTGATTGAGCATATTATTAAAAGGTATTATGGACTGTCAGTTAGCCCTAAACCAGAGTGGTTGGCTTTCCTTTGTTCTTACTTTTGGCCTGTTATCATCCGAAATATTTTCACTGGTAGATTTGTGCTACAAATCTTGCTTCCTCATTTAGTTTCATGAAACCTAACGCAAAATACTTCATTGATTGATTTCTATACTGTTTACTGATTATTCATAGAGAATTAAATGATTTACAATGGTATATTCATAAAGGATCGCTATCAGCTGAAAAATGAAGACCAGCTTATGATAATCTAAAATCCGGTCTTACCACTGTCTGCCAGTAAAAGGTCATAAAAGTCTCAGCCTTTTAATTCATCTCTTATAGTGAGTAACTTTAATCAAATAGAACTCGGATTCTGTGATGGAATACAAATCTATCACAGAATAATTTTACTTGATAAAACCGCAAAGTAATACAGTATTATTTAGCATGTCATTATTGCAAAAGGTTCACGGTAATCGTCTGTGCATCGTTTCAATCTTAGCAGACGTAACGCTACGCAGGAATCATACGTAAAATTGGGAAGTCTAAATAACTGTATTACTGTGTATCAAGTGAAAATGTTCTACGATGAATATTTTTTAGACTAAATGAAGCCGTCATGGATTTAACTCATTAAGTGTTTTGCCAACAGCTAAAGACTTAATTGACATAGCATCTGTATTTGTAAGGTAGAGTCTTTTGTGAAAGGAGTTGGAGAACACCTTGTAAATCGCAACGCGTTTTTCCACTATGACGCTTTGACAATATGCTTGCTAATGGACAAAAGTTTGTTAAAATTGTAAACTTTTTTATTTTATTAAAGAATACAGGTTGTAGGCAGCTGATGAGAACCAACGAAATAAAATGGATCCAAATTATTCTGCGCCAATGTTTCTTCTTTCTTTGTTCAAGTTGGAGAACTATTTGATATTAGGAATCTTTGAAAAGCTGTCTGGCGAGAATACTGTCACTCAGATGTCCAATAGGTGATTAACTGTAACTCCTGTTGATTCATGATATGAAAAAAATATATTCAGCGGAGAGACTCTTTTCGGCGAATTCATTCACATAGCTGTACAATCGAATTCATATATAATTATTTCTGTGTGTGTGTGTGTACATGAGGTTTGTCAAGTTTAGATAATTAATCAGGTAATACAAGAATGATCTAATATAGAAACAAGGTTAATCAGACAGTAACTAAAGTAACACTGAGTTAGTAAGTTAGATAACGTAATATAACTGACTAAAATGTTTCAACTTAGGTCAGGGTAGCAACAGAGGTAATTACAGGTAGAGAGAGACTAGGTAGAAGTGGGGCGGAGAATGCCTAATGCCATTTAAATTAGAACTGAAATTCAACAAATAAGTTGGATGACGTAACGTAAATGAGTGACTAGAAATTGAGCGTTGGTCAAGTCAGTAGCAGTGGTAATGAGGTGTGGAAATTAAAACGGGTGGTAGTAAAGGACAGGAAAGTTGAAAATGTAAAATATTACAATTGAGAAAACAAAATAATACTGATGAAGAGACAGAAAAGAAAAAAGAGATTACGTAGAATTTACTTGTCGGGTAGTAAGATAGATTACGTCCATTTCAAGTGTAGTGATTGAACAAACTTCTTCTGTATTCATAGTTCAGAACTTAGCAAGTGAATCGCCGTTGCTTCTGCAGTTTGAAGAGGTCTGATTCGTACACCTTTAGGAAGATTACTTCTTCCTCTATAGACGACTTTGAAGTCTCTTTGAGGTGTACCTTGGTGTCCAGAATCTATCACATATTCTAAGATGGAGCTGATGGGGGATCGCTTTTCTCCTTTGTAAAACCATGTTGGTAAGTATTCGGTAATACGTTTGGAAAGCGAACGCTGGGTACGGCCAACAGACCTGGCTCCACACGAGCAGGTGAATGGATAAATACACATTGATGAGGCCAGCAGTGGTAGCTTATCCTTCACGTTCACATGAATCATAGGTTTTGTGGAGAAGGTTAGTCGTAGTTCAGCTGAGAAGAAGGTCTTCTTGAGTGTGCGTGACAGTCAATTTTTCAGTGTTTCCGCAGATATATCTCCATTGAATTGAAGGTTCATGTAGAGTAGTTTTTTCAGGACTCTAAGCGTGGGCAGCTTTTGCAGTCTAGGATTCATGGATTTTGCAATAAATCGTATTGCATAACAAATTGGTCATGTCGAGGATCGGTCGAAGAGGGATACCCTTCTTGTGTACTTTGGGAAGTCCGTAAAGTCGTGAGCCAGATGGTCTTTTTGGTTGCTGATGAAAGACTCCGTCTTTAGCTTACGGAGGGTGTCTGTTAGCTTTTGTTCAGTCTGTTCAGTCATGTTTTTTTCGTTGATCGGTTTTGTGAATTCGCATTCATCAGCATTTTACTCATATAGTCCTTGAGATTCATGATTACGATTCCTCCACCTTTATCAGGACATGAAATCATAATCTCTTCGTTTTTCATAAGTTTTTTCAGCTCCTTATAGTGCCTCTTCGTGAAAATAGACCTTCCGTTGGGTTTGGTATTTATAAACGTGTGACAACAGTCGAGGATTGATGCATTGAGTTGTTGTAGATTTTCATCTGATGTGGGTGTGAGATCGTAAGTTTGGTTTATTAGATTTTCGAACTGAACTTGGCATTGTAGCTTGTCAATACTTGGTGATTTTACGCAGAATTTTGGACCTATAAATAGTGCCTCTAGTTGGGTAGTGATGTCTAAAAGATTGAATACGCACTTATCTGGATTGCTTGGGAACGGAGACTCGGTATTAATTGTAGGCTTTAGGCTTTTGAGCAGATCTGCTTTAGTCTTGTGGATTCTTTCTGAGTGACTTGTTGTACGTATTCTTCGAACGGATGGCGTAGTTTTTGATCTAAGTCTTCAACTGCATGAGCTATAGCTCGAGGACGCGTGACTGAATGGAATCAATGTTGTTTCGTGTGTGTCGTCTGAGTGTTCTGGTATTCGGTTGGATGTGGTTGCGTCTGAGTTACTTCCAATACATCTTTGGATACTCATATCGATCTATACAATCTCATTAAGAAATCAATCTTTGTCTTCGTTACCTCAAGCTTGATGGATTAACGCGGGAAACCATCTAGCTCCTTCACCGTCACTAAGTCCTTGCTACGTTTGAGTCGCTTTAAAATCCCCATTGAGTCATGTGAAAAAGAGAAGATGTTCGGCAAAGAGAGTCTATTCGACGAATGCAAGCAAGCACTGGTGAGTGAGTGTCTGTTCTCAAAGATGACTCGGCGAGTCCCTTTAGTCACCATCAGTTCTAAGAGCTTCAGGAAAAGCAGTCTGTGGGTAAGCACTGGGGTGTGTGAAAACCGTTTTTTTAACCGAAGACTGTTAATGACTAAATCTACTTTAACATTAACAATGTGTACATAAATTGAATAACCACACAATTTTGTTTGTCTTCGTATGTTCACTTCATGCATGTATTACGAAAATTACAAAACGATCTAAGTATTATTGTAACTGGTTGTGCACATCACCTATGGGCTCATCAAAATGAAATTCGACTATAATCATGGGGATACAGAGCATATAGTTCACCTTCAGAAACCACATGTGTAGATATACATCCCCGTAGTCTTATTCTCATCTACATGATCGTGACAATTTTAACTAAGGTATGAAACAGAATTTATACTTATAGTTCATGATACCAATCAATAAAAACATCGAAAATAATTAGAAGATAATATATGTGAAACGTCTAAGGTTTGAAAGTTAATGTTGTTGGTATTTTTTATTGCTGTCTATTTTAGTTAATCAGTCACCCACCTGTTTTAATAACACATTCACCCATCGTTTGAATACTCTAACTTGTGTTTGAAGACGTCTGATATCTGTGGAAATAAGAAACAACAACAAAAAAAAATTAGGCACTATTTCAATCAGATTTCAAAGAAAACCAAAACAGAGAAAAAAAAAGAATCGGATTAGTAAGAAAATCAGGTGTTTCTTTGTCTCTTGTTCTCCATTCACGAAGGCAGAGAGTCAAATCAGTAGAGTGGACTGATTGCTTTTGCAACATTTGGTCATGAAACAAAAATGCCATGAAAGTTCAAAGGTTATTATCAAATACCAACAAAAAATAAAGTATAGTGAACTGAAAAAAAAAAAGTAAATCGCTACTCACAATGAGTTATCCGGTAAATTTTGATTGATCAATTAGATAACTCAAGTTTCCTGAGGTCAGTTACCTTAAAATGCTGCTAGTCAGTCTTTTAATTGCATAAGTACATAATATTAGAGAGAGATTAACAATGTTTAGTAGTTAGAAGGTTCGTGTCAGTTGTGTCCAATGGAAGATGGCTAAATTACATGAAAATAGTACTGTTAGGAATTTGACGAAATTAGAAAGATTGATTTCTTTGACCTTAAGTTATATAGATAAATAGATAGACACAGAGAAGTGTCATGGCACAGAATAAAAACAAATATTCAGTTTGCATAAAAAATATATTTTGTATTTCCCTGAAGTCCTTTCTGAACTGAAATTAATGGTTATATTTCTATATAAGTTACTCCTTTCATTTGTACAAGAGAATGTTTTTTGTCAACTCTAACAGCTTTTCCCAAGGTGTATGAACATTCATCAAGAATCTGAAGTCATGACTTGCCTGAATTTCGGAAACACATACTAATGAATTACAACATAGCAGATATCTAACAAGTAATCTGTAGCACTGCCTAAGCAGTAGCAAGAAATCGAGAATTTTCTTCATTGAATAATTTGATATGGGTTTATACAACGCCTAAGTCTTTGTAATCCAGAGTGGTGTATAAGATGATATGTTTGTTATAACAGCTATATCCAGCCTTCATGTTCTGAGCAAACGGATGTTTCATTTCTGCTGTTGCATAAATATTGAACATCTATCATACCTGCGGTATCATACTAGTGTGGTGAGAGCAGGCTGCTAGCCAATCGGTAGACATTAATCTACGTCACTGTCTAGGACACTAATATTGGCCATGAGAAAATATGAACAAGGCTGATTCAACAACCAATCACAGCAGACTTAACATGGGCAAATAAGATTCGCAGATATATGGCTTAACTTTCCGAGAAACCAGAAACAACCGATCAGAAGACTGTGTTTGTCTGCTTGAATAAGCTATAATAATGTACATGAAATATATATAAATACGTGTTGATTTCCGTAATAAAACGATCTGTTTCCGGCCCTTGTCTTCTGTTGTTACAATAGTAGTATAGATCGTTAGGAGAATATTATGAGTTATATATAGTAAAGGAAAACAATATTTACTTCAGTAGATTTTCTGTTCAGACTGCATTAATAAGTTGTCAAAATTTACCCTTTTAATGTGAGTGAATCACCATAGAGATGTTCTCACGCATCACTGTCAGAATTTGTTTGACTATATTATTCCATTCAAACCAGTGTTATACATATTGCTACTAATTATCCAGAAAACATACATGCACTGTGCAAAAGGATATGTGGATAATAGTAATGATAATAACTTTATTCCAAACACTGGCTTTGATACAGACCGGAATATTTAGCATTTTCATATTCCATTACGTTCACTCTTTATATTATTATTATTCTTTCCTTTAATTCCTAGAGGAACATAGGGCTTCAGCTGCGCGTCTCCATTGCCTTCTGTTTTCTGCCAACTTTTTCACTCCGTTCCAAGTCTGCCCACATGCTTTCATCTCCTCCTCACATGACCTCGTCCAAGTCATCCTTGCAGTGACGACCAACTCGCCGCTTCCCTTTCGGGTTCCACTCCTTATATACACTAATTAAAAACTGTCTGTCTTTTTAATGACTACAAAGTAGGTTTATTCGCTCTTTTCTGACATTTCATATACAGAAGTTTCGTGCTAAATAGTATATGGCTGGGATTTTTTTATTTGCACACAATCCAATGGAATCACTTCTCACTTATATATAAGAGGTATGAGGAGTAGGTTCCCTATCCAACGAGATAATCTTAATCAACTGCTTGCACGAACTCAAATATCTGTAAGCGGCAGTTATTTGGGTCAGAGACACATCAACAGCCCAGCTAACACCTTTCAAAGTCCTGATTAATGTGTAACAACAGAGAATAATGAGTAGGGTACATGAAATTATAAATTATAACACAAGCTGTGGTGTGTTAGAAAGTCCTTGCAACCCTGTGCAATAGACAGAACGAAATATTTTTATAGAAACCAGCAGGGCTTGAGACAAACAACAAAGATCAGGAAGACATGTTAACTACATAAGTGATGTTCAACTTATTTTTTTACCACAGTACCATCTATACTGCAAGATACATTGAACTGAAGCAGTCCTCACAAGTTCTGTCCGTGCTTGAAACAAAAATTAAGAATCTGACATTCAGATAGATTTAATTTAAGACCGTTTGAGGGAGAGCATTAGTTGACCTTTTACAGAAAACCATTAATATGAGAACAGTTTAATGCATAAACAAAATAACCCTCAGTTACGTCATCTGAAGCACACTCAGGAATTATTGAAAGCCCGTGATCATCCTCTGTCTAAAAGTATAATAGAATTTCAAATCATACAATTGGTGGACGGTGGCTAGCAGTGGAATCCAGGATGCGCATTTCGTCCTATTTGGGACTCGTCAGCTGGATGTACCTGCATTTCCCAGTGAGTGATGATGTTCCCACCGAGGCTCGAACCCAGTACCCATAGTTTCAAACGCCAATCAATCGACGGGAAAATCAAAAGTTCAATTCAAGAATTTCAAATCATCATTTCTTCCAGTCATATAAAAATGCGCTCTTGTAAGTTTGTATTTTTGAATACTGAGGTATTCGAATATTATACATCATTTATAGTTTGCATACAAATCACATACGGTTAATGAGAGAAATAACGGTCTAATGTATCATGGAACTCAGGCTTAAGATTTCTGAGACATTAAAAATCCATGGCTGAAGACTGTTGGTGACGCGATTTGAAGTCATTTTTAATGGTGTAGATGCACTAACTTTTAATGAACTCTCATTATCCCTGTTGTAATTATTCCTTCTCCACGTAAATTCTAGTTTACCATAGTTTTATTGCATGTCTCCCTTCTTTATGAAGTGTGACAGCTTAAACTACTGTACTTTGGTGAAAAGTTCTGCACTGAAAATTTAGTTTATTTCACATATTCGTGTTGGAAACGTACAAATCAATTTTCTGTTCTATGTTCCTTGATTTCTGATGGTTATCTAGCTAGTGTCATTTTGTGGCAAAGTTCTAACTGCAAATTACTCAGACCCCTACATATTTACATTTGAAAATAAGAGATGTCTTAGCTTTACTCATTCTTATCTGAAGACTCTATCCGCTGCCACTACTCTCAACTTCACCGGAACCTTTTCAGTTATTCCTTTCTATTTGTTCATTCATTTCTTTAAGGCAGTATCTTGGCTTTTATAAAGCCAGCTAAGAGCAGATATTATAAGCGATAAGGCCTTAATTGGAGGTCAGATATCTTGCTCTATGTGCCTGGTCTGTTCAAAGACACATCTTGACTCCTGCTTCTTCATTGGAAACCTTTTTTAGTAATGAAATGTGAAGGCTTTTAAAGCGTGTAGTGTTGTTCATGTATGGATCTGCAAAGTTCTGGAGTGCAACTATGAATGTGTGATGTTCTCCTTCAAAAAAAAAGAGCTCAATACTTTGCTAGGAATTAAAGATACTAGAAAACGAATTCAAAAAGGCCGTAGAAGAATAAGTCAGAATACTTTACGACTGAAGTAAAGTACACTGTGTAGAAATAATCTTGAGAAATAAATGTGATCCTTCTCATATGTTTGCGAAGGTGATTTTTGACATTTTATTATACCTTCTTATGAAATACAACTGTTGTATGCACATGATATGGCTTGTATTACAACTGAATGACTGAAGATCATTCATACTTCTATCGACCAAAGGGCGGGTGTAATGCTCATCAGTCCGCTCCGTCCTCCTTTATGGTTGTGAGACCTGGCCACTGAGAGTGGAAGACATGTAAAGACTAGCTGTCTTTGATCATAGGTGCCTGCGTTCTATTTCCCGTGTAAAGTGGCGTAATAAGGTGAGCAACATGGAGGTTAGGCTTAGAGTTCTAGGTAAACAGGGGAAATCAATCGACGAAGTCGTGAAGTTACAAAGACTGAGATGGTTAGGACATGTGTTACGTATGCCAAGCCATCGCCTCCCTCGACGAGCTATGTTAGCGGATATAGGGTCAGACTGGAAAAAAGCTAGCGGCGGTCAAACAAAAACTTGGCCTCATCAGTCAATGAAATCCACAACAGTTGGTCTAACCCACGTAGAAAGGTGTAGACTTCCAGGCTGGGGTCCTCGGGACGGTAAAAATCTATGGTTGGAAACAATTGGTGACATGGCTCAAAATCGTTCTCAGTGGCGCAGATGCATCCACTCCCTGTGACTTATGATCTTCAATGAAACTGTTTTGTATTTCTTTATTACTCCTTTGCCTCACACCTCTGCTCACTGTTTCTATTATGCTTTTCTTGTACTTTCTTCTCTTGCTCCACGTGCTACACGGAATGTGGCGACTTGAACTTCCGCACATTTGTGCAAAGTTCTATGTCGAAAACAGACAGAACAGACAGAAATACTTCGTAAACTAAAGACCATAAATGCAAGTCACTCTTAGCAGACCTCTGATAATGAATATGTAATGTTAACAAGATAAACTAGGTAAACATAATTTATACTACTTTAATTCACCATTATTCTAAGAATATAGACCACTGGCGAAACAATTTTAGCAAACCCGCAACGCACAGATGAAACGTGCGTAATATTTAATACAACCTAACGCGTTGTCACCAGTCGAACTTATGGATGCA